GTGACTGACGGATGCCGACAGTTACCCAAAAGCACCCTCGCCACATTTTTTTACCCAGAAGGCATTGGCGGATCGACCCAGAATTCCAATGGGCGGCAGGGACTGCGGGAACTGTGGGATAGCTGCCCACAGTGCACTGCTTCCAATGTCGACGCTTTCCCTGGTAGTGTGGACTGACAAAGTCGAATTACTGTCCTTAGTGTAGACACATACGTTCGACTTTCTAATATCGATTGCACATATTCGATTTAACTAAAATCGAACTACTCTCGTAGTGTAGACATACCCTCAGGCATAACAGATAACATTTGCTCAATATTATCCAACACATTTTTAATAAATTAACTTTTCCCACAGTTGCTAGGCCCTACAAGAATTACAGAAAAAGTGTGTTCCCATTGCATATCCATTTTCAAAAGCCGTAGGGTAGGGTTCTAAATCTCTCTCTGATGACTCTCTTGTTGTAAATGACTTTGCATTTTCTTAAGGATCTTTGTTTCTATTTGCCACTGATTTTTGTTCCTTGCAACAGAGGACTGCTGCACATCTATCTTTTTGTTGGGGTGTCTCACTCAGGTCTGTGCTATAGTCCAAGACTAGATCTTTCAAACTGTCAAAGTTGATCTTTTCACAATTTGCTAGGTTGAGGGTAATCCCTTTGACTTTTATGCAGGTCTTCCCTTCCGGCAGCTTGTACTAATACATTTCTGGACCTGCTGACATGAACTCTGTGATGGGTTTGCCTGCCAGGATCTTACTCATGAGGTACCCTAAATAATCCCCCAGGAGTGGGGTTCCAGTCTCCCTCCCTTTTCACAAATATCACCGAGACTGTGTCATGATACAGGCACTGCTCTTGCAAATTGTCTCACAGGTTATATAGTTCAAAGCAGGCGTAAGGAGCAGGGAGGGGATTTTTACCTCTGTATATGGCACTGGTGAGACTGAGCCAGGAATACTGCATCCAGTTCTGGTATCCGTATTTTAAACAGGATGTTGAAAAATTGGAGAGAGAAAAAAAAAAAAAAAAGAGCCACAAAAATTATTCAAGGGCTGGGGAAAATGCCTTATAGGGAGAGACGTAAAAAGCTCAAATTGTTTAGCTTATCCAAAAGAAGATTGAGAGATGACTTGATTATGGTGTATAATTATCGCCTTGGGGAGAAAATACCAGATGCTAGAGAGTTCTTTAAGCTAGCGGAGAAGGGCAGAACAAGACCCAATGGCTGGAAGCTGAAGCCAGAAAAATTCAGATTGGAAATAAGGCCCAAATGTTTGTCTCCTGTGATGCTGGCAGACCAGATAGCTCAGGCTAAGGTCCCCATGCCTCAGTTGAATACTGACATAGCTGAAACCAGCTTTTGGCTCACCCGTGTGTTAGTATTGTTAACTAGGTATTAGAATGATAAGAATGTGTTCAGACTTCACTGAATGCTTGTGAGTTGCAGCATGGATTAACCTTGCTTATGATACCTGTATCCCATATTGTACGGTAATATTTGAACATTTGCATTGTAAGCCCTTGTAACTGTAAATCACCTGCCAGGAGAGAAACATCTGATTCACGATGTGAAATGTTAGTCCCCAACAGAAGGTGTTATGCCTGACCGACAAGGAAGGCTCATTGACACCAGGCAGATACAGTAGAACATTACAGAGGAAAAAAGACTTTGTTGTTTTCCCTCTCCTTCCTCACCCCACAAAGATGAGTCTTGCAAGTGAATTCCTCCCATAACTGAGTTTGCAGCTCAAAGTGGAAGATGGGAAGGGATAAACCCTAACAAGGAGAAACTGTATCTCAGGGCTGCTTGGACTCCGAGAGGCAAGGTTTCTAGGGAGAAGCAAGGGATTCCCAGCTGCTTAGCCCTATCTCATAGAACTGGAAGGGACCCCAAAAGGTCATCAAGTCCAGCCCCCTGCCATCACTAGCAGGGGTAAATACAGATTTTTGCCCTAGATCCCTAAGTAGCCCCCTCAAGGATTGAACTCACAACCCTGGATTTAGCAGGCCAATGGCCAAACCACTGAGCTAACCCTCCCTGAAGGACATATGGAGCTTGCTTATCACAGAACCTTCTATTACCTTTTGAAACTTAAGATTGTCACTCATTTGCATATGTATGTTTACCTGCTTTAACCTTGTAAATAACTCTCTTGTTTCCTTTTCCTATTTAATATTATGTTTAGCTAGTTTATTATAGAATTGGCTACAAGCGTTGTCTTTGGTGTGAGATCTAAAGTGCAATTGACCTGGGGTAAGTGACTGGTCCTCTGGGACTGGGAGCAACCTGACTATTGCGGTGATCCTTGCTGTGAGGGACCTTAACAGGGCTGGCCTTATCATGAGGTGAACTGAGGCGGCCGTCTCAGGTGCCAGACTGGGGCGGGGAGGGCGCCACTAGGACCCAGAGTGTAGAAAATTGTATCTGCTGCTGGTGCACAGAGATGGTGGAGTGCTGTGCTGGAGGAAGGAGGGCACAAGAGACATAACAGGCAGGCAGGAGAAAAGGTGAGAGAGAATAACAGAAAGCAGCAGGAGCTGCAGGGAGACAGAGGAGGAGGAGCCTCTTGTGTACCTCTCTAGCACCCCCAGGAGCCTGGACTGATTCACACCAGCTTCTCAGGGAGCTTTCTGTTTCCTGCTGCTTCCCTGAACCCACTTGAGGAGAACAGGCAGTCAGCTGAAGTAGTAGGAGCCAGTTAGGCCCTTAATTCGCTGATATCTTTCCTCACTCAGGCCCTGCTACCAGCCTGCTTATTTGTCCCCTTCAATTGAGTGTTAAGAGCCACTATAGCTGGCACAGAACAGCAGTCATGAGTGAAAGAAGAAAACGCCCCTCTGGGGCAGCATTCAGAAAAAGAAAGAAAGCAAAGGAAGCTTTTCTATCTAAGCAGGAAGGAGCTCCCCTGAGATAGATAGACACAAATGTTCACGGTGAGCCTTCCGGCCCCAGTGAGGATGGGAGTGGTGAGGAGATGCCTGATCTTCCAGTTAGTCAGAGTGCAGGTGACCTGGCAGCTACTGCAGCATCCAAATCTCCATCTCAAATGGATGTAACCAGGCACATTCCTGAAGAAAAGTGTAGATCAGAGAAGAGTGTGGTGGAGGCGCAAGAAACAGCTGCTGCTGAATTTAGTTCCTTAAGTCTAGATGATCCAGGACTGTAGACCCACTTGAGCAGTAGCCTGAGGGACATCCTTGTACTGCATGGGCCACAGCAAGTGAAAAACTTCATGTTCCCCAAAGACAATGAAAATAGAAGTTTCCATCCAACACATTACTGGCATGAAATGTAGGACTCATGAATGAAATTGTTTTTAATTGTTTACTTTATTAATGTAACTTCATAAGTAAAGTTTTATGAATGAAACAATATTCATTCATAAAACCGGTTACCCCAATAACTGGATAATTAACAGTTCAGATGCTTGTTAAGAACCATAGCTGTTCAGTCAGCTGCCTTTGTAAGTTTCACTATCAATCCAATTCCTGCTTAAATCACTGAGACTTGTACTGTTTCAGTATTGTAATTTCTGTTCACCATTTATTACACTTGCCTACAGTGTAACGTCTGTTCACTGTTTGCCATCTATTATACTTGTCTATCTTGTAACTTCTGTTCACTGTTTGCCATATTGTAATTCAAACCCCATTTTAAAACGCTTACTCCATTTTGTAAGGGCTTGCTGCAACCTTCATTTTTGCAAACCCTGCTGTAATCTTATTAGTTTAGTTTAGATGTGTGAATGAGGTATGTATGGATGATGGAATCAACCTCCAGCCCCAGCCTGTCCTGATTAAATAGAGTTCAAACACCAACGGCTGAAGATGCAGACAAGAGCCCTAACAAAGTAAGAAGAATCCACCCTAAAAAGAAAAGGTACAATAGAAGGAAGATCAAAGCCCGGTCCAAGGCTGAAAGTCATGTCTGCAATTAACAGGTGATCAATCACCAAACCTGGAGGCAGCGAGACACAGCAAGACCTATAGACTCTGGATTCAAACTAAAGCCTACAGAAAGGATGGGTGAGATGGAAAACTTTGGAGGAGGGTAACATTCTGCTGCCAACATGGAAGGGCATCGGTGCACGCCCAACAGAGACCCAGCTCGTCCTTGTGCCCGGCTTTCCTGGCCAGTTAGCCGCCACAAGCTACGAACCCAAGCTGCAAACTCAAGCCACAGACTCAAGCAGGACTGGTAACTATGCAGCAGCTGCAGAACATCTGATGGATGTGTGTGTGTGTAAATGTGTGTGTGTATAGGTATTAGGTATAATGTCTGTGTATAGGGATTAAGATATTTGTTATTGGTCATAAATCAAATTGTTATCATAATAAATGTGGCATCTTTATCTTGTCCCCTTTAATAAGATCCTGCTAGTTTTTATTGGTATAACAGAAATCCCCAATGGTGACGAGAAGGCAGCAAATCACCATAGAGCATTCCATAGGTGGAAAGAGCTTGAGATGAGACTAAGGTTAAAGGCCACCATAGACGATCAGCATCAGGAGAAGATTGCATCAGAGTCTCTTTACTGGTAAAATGTTCTGAAAAGGCTCATTGCCACTGTGAGAATGCTTGCTACCCAAAACATAGCACTGTGTGGCACTCCAGATCAGCTGTATGTGCCAAACAATGGAAACTTCCTTAAAATTGTGGAGCTGACGGTTGAGTTTGATGCTGTACTCCAGGAGCATCTAAGAAGGGTCACCACCCGAGAAATGTACACACACCACTACCTTGGAAAAACAATTCAAAATGAGATCAGACAGTTACTGGCAACAAAAGTCAAACAGAAGATTGTGGCAGATCTGAAGTCAGCAAGATATTACTCTGTTATTCTGGACTGCACACCTGACATCAGCCATATGGAACGGATGACCTAATGGTCCTGTCTGGCCTTCAACTCTTTGAATCTATGCCAATGTCAGACTGAGAAAGAGACAGGCCCAGGGCGCGGAACACTCAGAGCCTCCAGCCTCCTCTTTCCTGTCTCACCTTCATGACGTTGCTAACGAACGCTGTGACCTCCTCCTGCACGATGGAGACCAGGTTCTGGCAGGTCAGGAGGTTCACCAGCTGGGCCAGGCTGCCCAGCCTCTGCATCCAGAACTCGGCTTCCTTCAGCCTCCTCTCCAGGTCCCTGTAGTGGACTCTCTGCTTATACAGGGACTCCTTGGTGATGTAGAGCTTGTAGCTCTGCACTTGGGTCTGCAGCCCGTGCACTGTCTTGTATGTGTCATCCCGCACCTGCAAGGACATGGACACAGCAGGGCTGAGAAGGCAGGTTCCCTGCACAGACCCATCTCCCTGTCGGTGCTCAGGGTGGGATGGGAAGTAGTGAAGGGAGCTGCCCAAATCTCTCCCCGCTATGGAGCCCCACATTATTCCAGGAGACTCTTTCTTGCTGCTCTGGGATGGAGAGAGAGGGTCCTAAAAGGTCTCTAATAGAAACATCAAGCATGGCAGAAGCACTGTTTCCTGGTTTGACTGGGGGACACAACCCTGAGAGCTCCCAGAGCTATTGTAGGGTCCATAGGGCAGGTGTGGAGCTTCCATGGGAGAGGAGGACCTGTGGAGGGGAACTCCCAACTACTCCTCTCCCAGGGCTGGAGGAGCACTACAGGGAGCAGGGCAGGAGCACTGGCTGTGGGGTTGTGGAGCTCCTGGCCATTCCCTGCAGGAGGGGCTGTAGGGGCTGCGGGGGAAGCTCCCATCAGAGGGCACTGTAGGGAGCAGGGAAGGAGCACTGGCTGTAGAGCTCCTGGTACTGCAGTTCTGACCTCTCCCAGCAGGGGGCACTCGGGGAGAGAAGCCAAGGGGCACTGGAAGTACAGGGAGAGAACAAAGGTGGAGAGTCTCCCCGAGGCTCCAACCCTGCCTTACCAGCTCGAGAATGGCTGAGCAGAGGGTGAGGAACCTCCTGAGCAGGCCTCGGGCACGGCCGTTCTCTTGGGCCAGGGCCCGCTGTAGCTCCGGGAAGGGGTAGCATTTGGAGTCATCCTGGGGCAGCCAGTGTACAGATCTTAGCTCCTGCAGGAGTCTAGAAGGAAGCAGGATCCATCAGGCAGGGCCATGGGGACAGCCAGCCTCACCTGGGCACTCAGCCCCAGGCAATCGAGGGTAGGTGCAGGAGTGTAGAAGGCAGCGAGGGACCCCTCCTGGGGTTCAGTCCAGTAACCCTGAGCTCACTGACTGGGGCCTCAGCCCTTCCTCCCCAAGGCTCTGCTCACAGCACCCCTGGAGAGCTGACCCTGAGCTCAAATGTCCCCTGTGAGCCCGAAGGGAGCCAGGAGTGTGAAGAGAACTGGCCCCTGAAGGGAAGAGCCCCACAGGGAGGGTGCAAGGATGTTTCGTGCCCTAGGAAAAACTTCCACCTTGCGCCCCCCCCCCCCCGCGCGGCCCCCCCCCCCCGGCCCCCCTGCAGCAGTTCCCCCCCCTAAGGCGCCCCCCCCCCCCCCCCCCGCGGCAGCTCCCCCCTCCGTCCTGAGGCGCCCCCCCCCATGGCAGCTCCCCCCAGCCTGGGGAGCTGTGCGGCAGCTCCCCGCCCCAGCTCACCTCTGCTCCGCCTCCTCCCCGAGCACGCCATCGCTGCTCCACTTCTCCCACCTCCCAGGCTTGCGGCGGGGCAATCCTGGGAGGGAGAGAAACAGCCGGGCACCGTGCTCAGGGGAGGAGGCGGAGCAGAGGTGAGCTGGGGCGGGGAGCAGTTCCCCTGCGTGCCGCCCCCCCCATTACTTGCTGCAGGCGGCCCTCCCCGCGCCCCCCTGCCCCAGCTCCCACTGCCTAAATGACGACGACGACCGGGGCGGCCAAAGATCCGCTGCCGCCGAAGGACCCGAAATGCTGCTCCCCAAATGCTAGCGACCGCCTAGGTCGCCTAATGGGTTGCACCGGCCCTGCCTACAGAGGCTCCTCCAGCCCCTGCTTGGGGAGAAAGGACTCGGTGAGGACCACTGGAGAACCTAAAGAGGCGGGGGGCAGGGGTGTTCTGTCTTCTGCATAACCCAGGATAAAAGGTATCAGGCATATTTAGGACAAAGAGGTGAAAGGTAAGTATTACTGAATGTTGTAGCATTCGCATGTTAACAAACCGGCTGAGCCTGTGTGTATGGTGCTGATGCTGATGTTTTGAAAATAACTGCAGAGTTTCCACACTAATGTCTATGAAAGATAGTAGATGCCACAAGACAAACACTGCTAGTCAGGGTGAAATGGTCAAGACTTCCTTAAGGTAACCACCTGTGACTACCACGCTAAGGTGACGTAAATAGTAATGAGTTAGCCTATGAAAGATGGGGCACCCCAAAAGTAGTGAGGTGTGGAAGCACTGCTTTACCAGACTGCAGCGTGTGCATTGTTTGGTCGATTAATAAAGGGAATTATTATGGAAAGAGCACTACAGAGTCTCTGTTGTGCACCGTGGGGCCCCTTGTGTTGGTAACCTCTCTCCTGTAAGCTGTCTCAGAGGCTGGCCCTTGGGGTGGGAATTGGTTAAAGTAAACACAAACTATAGATCAGGGATTCTCAAACTGGGGGTCGCGAGGTCACTACATGGGGGTTCGCGAGCTGTCACCCTCCACCCTAAACCCTGCTTTGCCTCCAGCATTTATAATGGTGTTAAATATATAAAAAAGTGTTTTTAATGCATAAGGGGGAGGGTCGCAATCAGAGGCTTGCTGTGTGAAAGGGGTCACCAGTACAAAAGTCTGAGAACCCCTGCTCTAGATAAGGCTACATCCAGGGCCTTGGGCCTCCAGTGCAGGGTGTTCTCAGCCTGGACAGGGGCTGCTCTCAGTCAAGGTCCTGGCTGGGGCAGGGACACCCCTCCCACACACACAGACGTCCTCTCACCTGGAGACGTGGAGCAGTGCTGCTCCAAAGTGGGGCACAGCCAGGAGCAGGTGCCTGCCCAGAGCTTCCTGGCGTCTCAGCAGCTGCAGGTGCTTCACATTCTGCCACCAGCTACGGGGGAAGGAGGGTGAGACTAGGAGCTGTGCCGTGCTGGAGGCGAGAGACACTGCACATCCACAAGGGGCTCCATCCCGACCTGCTGCTATTGGTCCCACCCTGCCCACGTCCCTGGGCTCCAGCCCATGTGCCTGCAGCCAGAACCGCTGCTAATGGGGACCAGCCAACCTAATACCTCAGGTCCTGCCTCAACACATGCAATATAGGCCCCCTGCATCCAGGGCTCAGGCCTCCAGGTCCCATCCTCCCAGCACAGTGTGGAGGTTGGGATCCCTCGCAGGTTCCTCTATGGTGCCCATCAGCAAGGGGCACCCACCACTCACCGGGCAAAGGCTTTGCGGACGAGGCAGTGCTTGAAGAAGGGGATGCACTGGAGTAGCTGCCACAGCGTGGCCTCTCGGTGCCACTCTCCAAGTGTCAGGGCCTCAGCACCTTCTTCAGGGTGCACGTGGAGCACCCCAAAGGGGGAGAAGACATAGTGCTGGGGGTTGGCCTGGCGCTTAGGAACCACAACCAGGTCGTAGGGCCTGTACGGAGAAAGGAAGATACCAAGGCCTGCATGGAAAGAGGAAGCAGGGCCTGGCTGCTCCACCCATCCACACATACCCCTGCCCCTGCCATGGGGAGGCCAGCAGGGCACTGAGCCCTGCAGCACCAGTGGGGGCACCAGGCCTGACATCCCAGAGGCTAACACAGCACTAGGGAAGTGCCTGGCAGTGTGGGTGCAGGGGGGTGAGTTTGGGGTGCAGTTACCTGAAGTGCCTGTTGGGGGCAACGTTGAGGTAGACAAAGTTGATTTTCCTCAGGTGCCTGTTCCTCACAAAAATCTCAGCAGCCCGGAGCCCTGTCAGGGACTGCCAGGAGAAGCCCTGCTCTCCTTCCACTACCTGTGGAGCGGGTGCAGCAGCCTCTCGGCCTGGGTCTGGAAGGAGCCTGCAGTGAAGACGGGATGACTGTGAGAGCACCAGGGCAGAGGTCACCCCATGTCCAGAGCCAGCTCCCTCTCCAGGGTGCAGGCGGGGGGGGGGGGGGCAGCTGGGATGCCACACTCAGCTCACACTGCACCTGCACAGTGCTGGAGAGACACTCACTCCCCAGCAGGATCTGGACCATTAGACCACCATACAGTGAGCACTAGAAAAAACAACTAGGACTCCTGGCTGCCCAGTTCCCCTGAGCGAACTCCCCTCCCAGAACTGAAAACAGAACCCAGGAGTCCTGGCTCACAGTCCCCACCACCAGTTGGCAGGCTCTCTGGGGAGTACAGTCCAGCGTCCCTGTGGCCCTGGGGAAGTGGGAGTGTGCGTGATCCCTGGACTCTGCGGGGCCCGCGAGAGCAGCCCATGCGCTGGGGGAGGACATTGGAGCCCGGGGCCAGGATTTGGCGGAGGAAGCCCTTACCTCAGCTCGGCACAGCAATACTTCACAGGCACCTCTGTACCAAGGGCGAGGGACATGAGGCCCAGGCCGCTTTTCCACTGGGTCTCGTCCTGAGCCAGCTCCATGCCCACCAGACCCACACATCTCTGCAACTCCTGCAAAGACACTGGGCCTGGCTGGCACACGGCTGCTGGTTCTTCGACCTCCTGCTCTAGGACAAAGGGGCAGGGCTGCCCTGCGAAGGCTGGCTCGGAGCCAACAGGGAGCAGATTGGCTGGGGGCACTGGATCCCTGCCGTGTACAGCACGTGGATGGGCACACAGCTCTGAGTGGTCCCTGGGGAAGGCCTGGCCCATGGCTCCCAGGACATCTAGGTCAGACACGAGGGCCTGACTGCGGTGGTACTGGTAACAGAGGCTCTCCAGGTAGGGCAGCAGTTCCTCCCGGCAACGCAGCTGCTCCCGGAAGGGGCTGAGGAGCTGCAGGACATCCAGCAGGTGCAGCCAGGCACTTCGGCTGCTCCTCTGCAGCACCTTCGCAAACACAGCGACCAGCTCTGCCACGAGCATGTCCAGGTGCTGGGGATCAGGCCTCCCCGTCTCTTGGAGCTGGGCAGCAAGGCGCTGGCGGACACCCCAGGCCCAGCCATGCTCTGCTGGCTGGGAGCTCCTGGGCTCTCTGCCACCTGCAAAGGGACAGAGTCATGAGCTAGGGCCAGGAGAAGTGAGCAAGTGCTCAGCCCAAGGCTGAGGGTGCCCCCTATGCTGCCCACACCCAGCTTCACTGTACTGCGGGGCCAGATTCCCTTCCCTCCCACATATGTGATCTTTGGCGGCCTATCGGTGTTTCACGGCTTCAGCAGGATCCCGATACAGGCTGCACATGGTACTATTGGGGGACTTCCGGCTTGCGAGGAGTTGGAAAATGAAGTGAGAGCTGAGTGACAACTAGTCTATGGTCTGAGTGTGCTGGGGATTCTGCGCTGCTGAAGACCTGGTGAAAGGCTAGCTGCGTTCCTTATGTGCTGTCAGCACCAAATCCTGAGCATAAAGCGGTTTGACTTTGTGCAAAATGTCACTGTCTTACAGAACTGGCCATTTAGGGGTCTGGGGCAAAAATCTGTCTGGAGATTGGTCCTGCTTTGAGCAGGGGGTTGGACTAGATACCTCTTGAGGTCCCTTCCAACCCTGATATTCTATGATTCCTTCAGATGCTCATTATACTCAAAAGCAGGGTTGCGTGCTCTTCAGCCATGTTACCAGGATGGACAAAAATACCCCAGCATACCGTGTTCACGTGGAAAGGGGTGGATGCCCTGACCTTACCTAGGGCTGCCTCCGAGATTTGTGGATTTGCAGGATTGAGCCAGATGGGGGAACTTCAGTACATAATGCCTGGTGCGACCCTGCGGTCACTCTGGCTGGCACAATGGTCCTCAGTAAACTATGCATGTTTGAGAATGATTCCTACACACCCCCATGCTGGGGGAAGCAAAGAATGAGTGTGACACTCTATACCTCAGGGGAGTGCCCTGTAACCCCCATATTCCTCATCTATATATAATTGTGATATTGCATATAAAGCATGCCATGTGAGATATCCGAAGAAAGGTTATGATCTGTGGAAACCCACTGTTCCATCTAAATGTGTGTATCATGAACGCATTTGAAGTTATGAGAATTGTGTTGTATGGTTGTCACCAAACTATGCTGTGGGTTTGGGAGGCACGCAGATACTAGCTCTCCAGAGAGTGAAGCAATGATAAGGGAGGTAACCAACACCCGGGTGAGTGTTGAACAGACATCACCAGCCATTGTCCAGCAGAGGAGTTACAATTCCTGGGCTTGTGTTCTCCAAGCACATGGACTAAGGGTATAAAACAGAATGCAGGGGCCCCATGATTGGCCTTTCTCCTACCCCCACCTACACTGCAAGCAACAAGGACACTCAGAAGACTGAAGACTCCAGCAGAGGAGACTGGCCAGGTTTCAATGGTGAAACCTGTGTACTATGAACTGCAATATCCAGTGGGGTGAGAAAAACTGCTTAGTCTAGATCAAGGGTAGGTAACCTATGGCACGCGTGCCAAAGGCAGCATGCGAGCTGATTTTCCTGGCCACCGGTCTGGGGGGCTTTTAAATGAAGCTTCTTAAACATTTTTAAAACCTTATTTACTTTATATACAACAATAGTTTAGTTATATATTATAGACTTATAGAAAGAGACCTTCTAAAAACATTAAAATGTATTACTGGCACGCGAAACCTTAAATTAGAGTGAATAATCGAAGACTCAGCACACCACTTATGAAAGGTTGCCGACCCCTGGTCTAGATGCTGCCCAGTCTAATAGGGTTGAGAGTTTAGACTGCGTGCTTATAAAACCCACATACCTTCTGGGTGTGGTACTCTGTCCCCTCTAGTGCACCAAGACCACTTAGAGAGAGAGATTAATGAGTCTGCTCTAGAGCCTTAGCTAACAGCCATATGGGTTTTACCTCATGCAGTAGAGGCTTGTGCATTTCGCTCCAGAGGTCCCAGGTTCGATCCCACCCACTGACAAGCAGGGTCTGTCGGCGTTACACTTATATTTTATTTTGGTAACTAACTCTGACTTTTTGCTTATCACTTATAATCACTTAAAATCTATCTTTTGTAGTGAATAAGTTTGTTTTACAGTTTATCTTTACGAGTAAGTTTGCCTGAAGTGTGTGGTAAATTTGCTCAGGTTTACAAAGGCAGGTATATATCCACTTTCCATTGATGAAGTGGTGAATCAATTAATATATTTGCACTGCTCGTCTTGAGCAGTGCAAGATGATATATTCCTGAGGTACAGTGCTGGGAGCTGGGGGGATTTGGCTGGTGTCTTTCTCTGTGTGATTCTTGAGTGGCTCTGGGAGCATTCATGCAATCTAGCTGGGTGTGGGGCTCCACATGCGGTTGTGCTGAGTGATGACAGCGCCTGGCGGGGTTTGCTGCTTGTCACTAGCAAAGCATTGAGAGAGACAGCCCAGGCTGGAGAGTTAAGGGAGCACAGTGGTCCCACAGTCCGAGGCTGCACGCTGGAGATCCCATCACAATGAGCTGTTGAGGTGTTGGCACTAGAACAGAGAAGATGCCCCCAAATTCACTTCTGATCTCACCTGTAGCACAACAACCTCCAGGGCAACCCTGGGGCAATGGGGCCAGCACTGACTGTGAGGAAAGAGCTCTCCCTCTGAGTCCCTGTTCTCCCCCTGGTTATGGCAGCAGAGATTAAGGCTCGTTACCTGGGTCAGCAGCAGCAGGGAACAGACTGGGGTGAGTCGGGGAAGACTGCATGGTATCTCTGTGCACACAAAGCTGCTAAAGACAAAGGCCTGGTCAATCTAGGTGCCATGGAAGCATGGGGAAGGGGCAACATGGGGGCAGGTTGTGCCAAGAGGGTGGGATCACAGGCAGTCTGTTCTCGGGGGGGGGCGGGGCAAGGTGAGATCAGAGAGGGCAAGCTGTGCCATGGTGTGGGAGGGGACAGAGTGGGGCTAGAGGATGCTAGGTTGTGCCATTGGGTGAGGAGGGGGGGTGGTGGTCAGGCAGTGCCAGGGGGGACAATGGGACAGAGGGCGCTGGGAGTGGGGAGGGGGTGATGGGGGGCCCTGGTGGCACATAAGCATCCAGGGACTAGATCCTGGGATGGCCGGCAGTCCCACCGTGCCACCCGGATGCCCTGCAGAGCCGCCCCCATGAAGCGCTGCCCAAGGGACGCAGCGTGACCCCGCGGGCGGCCCCTTGATTGGCCACGTGCACGATTGAACTTGGACTGTGCCCCGACTCTGCCCCCGGACTTCAGCCTGGTACCGCCTCTGCCCTGCTCTGCCCTGGGGTCCCAACCCAGCCGGACTCTGCCCCCCGGACTTCAGCCTGGTACCGCCTCTGCCCTGCTCTGCCCTGGGGTCCCAACCCAGCCCGACTCTGTCCCCGGACTTCAGCCTGGTACCGCCTCTGCCCTGCTCTGCCCTGGGGTCCCAACCCAGCCCGACTCTGCCCCCGGACTGTCAGCCTGGTACCGCCTCTGCCCTGCTCTGCCCTGGGGTCCCAACCCAGCCGGACTCTGCCCCCCGGACTTCAGCCTGGTACCGCCTCTGCCCTGCTCTGCCCTGGG